GTATCAATTCACACAGCCTTTTGAAAACAACCTCCAAAAAGGTGTTCCGATTATACAGTCAATTTGAGAAAGTAGACATACTGTAAATGTCTGAATCTAATATTATTATTTAATACCCTAGGAGCCAGACCAGGTTTTGTATGCACTTTGAAGTGCAGAGAATTTGACTTCAGAAATTGGCTCAGGGTGGTCCAAGAATCATTTTTGGCTTGTTAACATATTTTCAAAATTTGGCGAAAGATCAAAAGGTCAGGGTCAAAGGTCAAAGCAATAAGGTCCTTGTATCTCCGCAACCACAGGTGGTAGAGAGTTGAATGAGGTGCCAAATTGTTCAGAACATGCATATTTCTATTTGCTCTAATAGAACATTTTGCTAAAAAATGACCGGAAATGTTGTTTCTGACCTTTGACATGCTTCAAGGTCATAGCCATATTGTCCTTATATCTCCGCAACCACTGGTGGTAGAGGGTTAATTTTGGTGTCAATTTGTTTTGGAACATTCATGTTTCTATTTGATCCAATAAATGAGTTTGATATAAAAATCACCGGAAATGCCATTTCTGACTGTTGACATATTTTATATATCTCCGCAACCACTGGTGGTAGAGGGTTAATTTTGGTGTCAATTTGTTTTGGAACATTCATGTTTCTATTTGATCCAATAAATAAGTTTGATATAAAAATGACCGGAAATGCCATTTCTGACCGTTGACATATTTTATATATGATAGCCATTGAGTCATTATTATCTTCGCAACCACTGGTCCAGTAGAGAGTTAATTTTAGGGCCAAATTGTTCGGAACATGCATATTTCTATTTGCTCTAAGAAAACATTTTACTAAAAAAATGAACGGAAATGCCGTTTCTGACCTTTGACATGTTTCAAGGTCATAGCCATATGGTCCTTATATTTCCACAACCACTGGGGGTAGAGAGTTAATTGTGGTGTCAATTTGTTCGGAACATTCGTGTTTCTATTTGGTCTAATAAATAAGTTTGTTAAAAAATGACCGAAAATGCCATTTCTGACCTTTTGACATATTTTATATATGACGGTCACGTGGTAGTATAGCGATACGCAGTGTGGCCATGGTGTGGCCTAATTAAATTTTTGGTTTTCTGAGCATGTGCAGATTGCGCTTATTTGCCTCATTAGCATAACAATACCACACATAAGGCTAATTCAAGAAAGACAGCTTAAACCAGCCAGCTTCCTATCCTGGTAACAGTTAAAAGTTCTTGATATACCTACATCTTATTTCCTGCAAAAAAAATGCAATTTTTTTCTAGGCAAGAATCATTTGCTGAAGTACAGAAGCCTGTTGGTGCCATCACATAGTGAAGCTATAATAAACAGCCTTCAGAATCCTAGAAGATCAGAGTAAAAATTATAGTAAAAAAACATTGGTATAAAGTTGTTGCATATCATAATTTTGTCTTCAATATATCTTCTTTATTTAAAAAAAAAATCAAAACAATCCACATTTTGTAGCCAAATGGACCTTTCTGTGTAGTCACGAATCGACATCATAAACGACCCGTTGCGCATGGCGTTGCCTTCCACATAGAATCTTGTCTTCCGTCGGCCTCTGTGAATTCCCGGCTTTACCAATTATAAATGTCGCTATGATCATGTGCATTTCCCACAAGATGCCATGTATGAGCGTCTAGCGACTTGTTGCTTTCAAAATATTCCTAATTTGAGAGGGAGGATACTTCCACACCCACCCCCGGCTTGTGCTCGGATGGCGCTACGCATCTCTTGCCCTAGCCCTTCAAATTTATTCAATGAACAATTTTTTCTCCCCTATTGCCTTATACTGTAGCTGAAAATATTGACGTTCTAATAACATACAGTTTGGTGTTTTGTAGTACACACAACATAACATATTAGTAAATTTTAAACAATAGGTCAATTTTCCCATATTAGGTGGACACTTTCAGGAAATATTGACATTCTAATAACATACAGTTTGGTGTTTTGTAGTACCATAAATACATATTTACAATGTACACATAATTTTCAATGTTGCTGGGACCGGATGTTAACATCAGTTTCGGTCTGAACCCCAACTACAACATTCACAACATAACATATTAATAAATTTTAAATGATAGGTCAATTTTCTGTAATGCCAGCTCTCTCCTTTTAGACCTAATGATTGCAAGTTACATTTCTACCTTCTTTTTTATTTTGGTTTTAATTGTTTTCATATAAGAGTATGTTTTGAATAAATACTTAGAAGAAAAATAACGCCGAAAAAACCGATGTTTTGACTCCCTTCATGGTGTCATTTCAAGTTCAAAGAATGACGTATACAGGATACTACTGCTGTATCCTAATATAAACTAATAATTCAAACCAGCTAATAACTTAAGAAGAAAAATCTTTTAACACTACTGCCAACCCATATGAAGTGGACACCTTCAGGACCAAAAATGTATTCTCCTGAATAAGGGTTACTCATAGTGTTCAAATATATATTTTTCCTCATTTTGAGGCTGAAAAAGTGTCCCCTTATCTTAATAGGGATGTCCCAAAGGAGAAGTTCTACTAGAGTGTCATTTTTAGACTTCTTTCTAGAGGTGGGATATCATTGGAAGTCCAATTAAGGAAATTTAAGAGGTAAAAGTTTGGTATTTCAGTCCTTCGCTGTGCATTTCTTGAGCACACAGTCTACCATATCTGTGTGGCTTCTCTCCAAACTAGGAGTATAAATGGGTACCAGCATCAATGTTTCTAAGAATGTAGACCCACTGACCTGAGACAGATGCGATTTCAACGCTATACAGAAATAAACAAATAAAGAAAGATTAATTTATATTGGTCCCATGGGTTTGGTATATATTGCAAAGAACAACATTTTTAGAAGTATTAATGTATATTGATACACAATGGTCTACTTTTTCAGTAAGTATGTCTTCTGTAAGCGAAAGATAATGAATCTAGCAAAATCTGCTCTGCCTACTACAGTACAGTGGCGTATCCAGTTGGGGGAGGAGGTGGGGGGGGCCGCACGCCCCTCCCCCAAAAAAAGCTTGCGCCCTCCCCCATTCGAAAAATTCGAAGCAAAAAAAATTAAGCTAGGCTTATGCTTATGCTGTCACGGTTAACGTGTATTCGGGGAGCAATATTTGTCAGTGGGCGTGGCCACCGAAAATAAATTCCACGCCCCCTCATATTTTGGTCACCCCCCCCCCACCAGCATAAGAGACAGCCCCCCCACCAGCCCCCCCATTTAATACTGCTAGATACACCACTGCTACAGTACCAGTGGAATTTCTATGAATACCTATTAAACTTGACCCAGTTGGGAAACTTAGAATTGAAGAAAGTGTATAGAAGGTTGGAAGTAACTGTTTCAACAACACCCTGATTTTCTTTAAAGCAACGAATATTAAAGATGTATTGTCCCTTGCTAATTTCAAGAAATCATAAAAAATAAGTTTGAAATAAACTTGCTCATTTTGCAATAACATACAAATTATTAACTTGTGCATAGAAATTATTGAATTTAAAAAATGTGTACCATGGTTTTTAAACCAACAAATTATAATAAAAATAATAAAACACTTTCAGTGACTGGAAGTGTTTCTATCATTTTTCGCTGTAAACTGATGGGTAGACATTTTTTAAAAACATTAATTTCTATGTTCAAGTTGATAACTTTTATGTTACTTCAAAATGGGCAAGTTAATTTCAAAAAAATATTATGATTTTTTTTTTATATTTAGCATGGAACAATACATCTTTGAAATGTAAAATAGAGAAATTATCATCATTCAGTTAAACAAGGCAAAAAAGTTGTCTGTGGTATTTAAGAATGGTCAGTCCCCATATCCAAGGAGAGACAAGCATTGTTGTTGAGGATCATCATTATCCTCATTGTCAGGATGAAGGAGTGTGTACAGTATTATAATAAGCAATATTGTAGTTGCAGTACACGAAATGGAAATGTTTTCATACATTAATCTACACCAGGAATACCAGCATAGGTTTAGTCTTACCTCTAGACTTTTCCTGATTAGCTTAAGTAATTTTGTTAATAGTAAGCAATTGGTAGAGCTCCACATAGTACACTATATGAAAATAATTATTATGGTTAGATTTAATGCTTGAAAAAATTTCCTGAGGGCCTGCAAGCCCCAAAGAAAATTTTTGAATGCATTAAATCTTACCTAAGTATAATAATTTTCCATTTAGTGTACGATGCATGCTCTACTAATTGCTTTATAAGTCAATCGCCTTCTTTTAATTTTATTTTTTTTTTTTAAATCGTGTGATGATTCCATAACTAGGCTAGACTACAGCCTAGTAGTAGTAGGCCTAAATCTAAATTTGTTCCTTGAGTCTTTAAAAGAGGTCTAGAATATTCCTATTAAACGTTCAGTTTGTTGTGTTTATGAGGGTCAGTTGATTCAATGAATTCCTTAATTGTTCATACTTAATATTGAATTTGAAATAACTTTCTTCGGGTTCTAATTAAGCTTGTTTTATGAAAGTAATTTTCAATTACAATTCAATTTTTATCGAGGTGCGTGACGAAAAAAATGAGGATTCTTTTTTGCACACAAGCCTAAAAAAAATCAAGCCAAGCGTCCCCTAATTGAAAAATTAGTGGACGGTGGGGAATAGGCAAATAACATTGGGAGTTGCAGTGATGACGTCACGATTGACTTATAACATTAATTGTCATTAATTTATGATATATAAAACTGTTACATGTTAAAAGCATTGCTTCCAATGTAATTCCTTATATCTCATTTCCATATTTTTATAATAGGAGTATGTTAATTTTACTATTGTGACCATACATGTGAATATGAACATGACTTTGTAAAATACATAAAATTCGATCATAAATAGTTCATTGGAGTTTAAAGGGATGACATCACAATTTAATGGTTATACGCCGTTAACACAATTCAAATTCAGCCTCAATATAATGAAAGTATAATAGTACTATGGAGTTAAAGTGATGACATCACAATCGAATGGTTAATATGATACGCCATTAAGACAATTCAAATTCAGCCTCAATGTAATGAAAGTATATTTCTCTAAAAAATGCTTTGATGATGGACTCGTCCTTGATGTATTTCAATGAAAGATACTTATATTATAAAGAAGCACATTAATGAAAAATTCATAGAATAAGAATGCATAAATGATGTATTAATGAAAAAACATCAATTAATAAATGTATCGGTAAAAACTACATTGATTAAAAAATGTGTAGATAAAATTATGCATGAATAAAGAATGCATTAATTAAAAGTGCATTATAATTTTTTCATCATCGCTGCATGTTTTATCTGTACACCTCATCACAGCAAGATTTTCATCTTGAAAAGGGCCTGAATGAAAATAGTTTTTTACATTTAAGATTTTCGAGGTAATCCAAGGAATTAACATCTGTCATATATCATTTGATCGTGGTAAATTGCCCTTGTTTATTGTTTGTTAATTTTATTTCCATGGAAGCATCAGATAAAATATTACAATGGAAGGCTACCAATGATAACTCTTTATTCAACTTTTTTTATTCTGATGCTTTGTTTTGTAACTGTACTTTGAAAACTAGTATGCATATTGAAAGTGCCTGTAGATTAAAGAAAGAATAAAAATATAACTAAGTAAAAACATATCTGAACAGATCGACATAATACGACCATAGAGAAAGAAAATAAGGTACAACAAGGTGCTGTGAACTGCTATAAAGTTTGCCAAGCTTCTTCACCAGCCAATGACCATAATATACTACAGAATTTAATTGTAAATCATGTACTCATCATCATTTAGAGCAGAACATTGTGTTTTTGTATAAAATGCGATGAAATTACCAGATGATTATATTTCATCTGAGTTATTGAACTGAAAGTTATCATCATCTACAAATTGATAAGAAACAAAGAGTATGCAATTACAGCAATACTAGTTCTCTTAGGCATACATATATTTAGTTACTTGAGCGATACTAAATGTTGTAATTAATTTTCTTGTTGACATTATTTTTAGCTTAACATTATGTTTTATAAGCCATCAATAACCAATAAATAGAACACTAAAGAGGTTGTAAGTCAGTGTAATCATGAACATACCGTAGGGAATACACTACTAATTCAAAGAACGTGAAATACTTAGATACTGATTTATGCAATGGCTTCTGTAAACAAGCTATGGAAATATTTCAAACATTAAGGCATGTCCCTCACCCCAAAATGGACATAAAGATTAATGTTTTAAGATTGTCCCAATTACTTTAAATCTTAAAGTACTGTACATACAAATTCTTCGATTTTCCAGAGAAACGTTTGGCTATAGTACATGATGTGATCATTATAGATTTTTTTTCTAAATCTTTTGAGATAATATACTGTAGAATTGTATTAATTATTAACAAATGATAAATCAAAAAAACAGTTCCAAATGCTGAGTGTTAAGGCCAACTCAGACAGCGTCATATAACGCAGCTCGATGCCATTTGTTGTCGTGTCGGGACTGTGTGAGTTATTATTTCCACTTCGTGTTGTTACTCTACATAATACACGAGAGCTAGGCTAGGCACAGACATCCTGCTTGTTTTGCAAACTGGGTAAGCTCCAAGCGTTGTTACAGCCAAATTCTAAAGGATGCAATATGCATCTATCTCTTTGTTTCCATAGGTTTTTTCCACATACTCTAATCAAGAATATGATCGTAGAAATGATGATATTGATCCAGTTGCAGCCTCCGCTGAATACGAGCTAGAAAAAAGGGTTGAACGTATGAATGTATTTCCAGTTGAATTACTTAAAGGTTTGTTTTTGTTTATTTGTTTTGTTTAGTGCAATTTACATTTTATTTTGATCTTCAGTGACTTCACTTAAATTATGCAAACATCGTTTCTCCATTAGAGCCTCAAGATCAATTAAAAATACATGGTTTGATTCTGTAGAACACTGTTGGGCAAATTGTGGCCGATAGCAATTTTGTTGCAGCCCAACACCTGGAAAGTTGGATTTTTTTTTTTTTTTTAGGCTTTCCCTCTTGAACGATCACCGGCATTCTTCACTGCACTCTGGCCCAACCTTGAAACCGTATTCCTCTCCAGATCTTAAATTCACTTGGTTTACGTTAGAGTAGTGGGTCTCTAATTATAGATTAACTATTAAAGTGGATAACAGTTACATGGGTCACAAATATAGAACTTGGTTTCAAACCAAGTAAAAGACGAGTTTCAACCGAACTCTGAACTCTAATAGGGCGCCCCCTATCTCGTGGCATTCCATTGCACGGATAAAAATCAGGGCAGTCAGACCTCTTGCAAGTCTATATTCTTTGGTTTCAGTTAAAAGTTTTGTGGTATTTCACTTGTTAACAAGTTTTACCATTGTTTTTTTTATCAAGTTTGTAGTCTCGACTTGTAGATATGCCACTGGTTATTAGATTATAGTATTTTTGCTGTGGTCTTTTTTTTTTTTTTTGCGTCAAGTTTAAATGTGGATCCCATAACCTCACTGCTGTTGTTGTTATTACCAAATTTTAAAAGTGTCCGGCGTTGCCAGTTTTGAACAGGTATGCAGGAAATTTTGTAAACATAAACTAGAGGTTATTTCCAACACGTTCATGGCCCTTTTTCCCCCTAAACTTTAAAAACAAAACGGGTTTCAGCAAGGACTACATACTGCCATTACAACTAATAAATACTTCGCATGGATGGTGCAGTTGGTTAAGGATGTGTTTTAAAGAACAAAAAGTTGTGAGTTCAAATTTCGTCTTGGTATTCAATTTGTTTATTTTTTTTTTAAGAGATTTTAATTTTGAACAATTAAAACGTTCTAATATTATTTAAAAAATTCTATCATATTAGCTCTTCCAAATTTTGTTGTCAACCAGCTCTCAAATATCATAGGATGTTCATTTATACAAAAATAAATAAATAAACTTTAAACACTGAATAGAGGTGACCTCAGTTTAAGACGCGAACTGGCGAGTGGTTGCTCTTGCTTTTAACAAATGGGCAGTGTACTGTTTGACCATGTTACATGGCCATCATTATACAATATTGTGAATTAATTATCAGGTTGTTATTGTCATTGAAGTACTTACTGTTAACCTAATGAACATGATTCTTTAAAAGGATGAAGTCAGGAATAATTAGAGCATGATTTGTGTGCCTGTCATGTTTCATAACAATTCATTAACAAATGTTGTGTATTGTAAGCTAGTTTAAGTGTAGAATGGAAGCTTGTCAATATTAAACCCCAAAAATTAAATTACGTAGGAACATCGAATGTAGGCAAAAATGGCCTCGGTAAATATGGACCCAAATGACCTGTAGGTAAAGATGGCCCCCCCATTGATAAAGTTTAGTAATATAAGTAATTTTTCAAACTATTGAAATGCTGCAAAATAGTGAAAAAATTGAATAAATAAATTAGCATAAATTGATATTTAGTAATGTTTTTGAGAATTATTTATATTTTTTACTTAGGATTATAATTATTTATTTTAGGGAATAGGTAAAGTGCACCTTTGTTGTTTATTAAAGTCAGTTTGTTAAAAAAAACTAGTGAATGTAACCACTTACTCTAAATTTATGTTATAATACAGTAAGGTAAAATATATTAAATTTTATTTTTTTAATTTTATTAATCTCTAGATTTTTTTTTTAAATCAGTTTTATTACTAAATTTGATACTTTGGGCCATTTTTACCTATCTTTCATTTGGGGCCATATTTTCCAGGGCAATTTTTTCCCAGTTTCTTTTTTCAGGGGCCATTTTTTGGGGGGACTTTTTAACCATACGCCAGAAAGAATAACTTTTTGATGGGATACTAGAAAGTGATTTCCAGTGCATCTCTTCTTTACACAGTGTGTATTGTATGTTATACAAATTTTGAATAGTATTATTTATGGTACATAATTATTTCTATCCCTACAGATTGCCTATTTTTTTTTATTTTTTATTAAATATAAATAACATGTCCCAAATGGATTTGCCTGCTGGTAGGATTATGTCAAAAAAAGTCTGGGATCTAAAGGATGAATTATAAGTTAGTATGGCTTAATCTGTTGATTGCATGGGATCATGGATTAATGTACCAGCCAGCCTTATTTATTTTTATCATAAAATGTGTTGTTTGTGTCAGTATAGTTTCTTTTCCATAGTGCTTCAGTAATCTTTGAATTACTATAATACAAATTAAATGTAACTGCAGTTATTGAGGTAGACCTATGGTATTATAATAATCAAAGCCAGTAATGTTCAATACAAACTACCAATATTCAAATACTTTTAAATGTAAGCTGAAGGTTTTGATTTTTTCAGTAGTTTTGGAAGGGGACATTTCACATGTCATCAGGGGCGGATCCAGAGATGTCCAAAAGGGGGCTGAAAGTTGGGCCGATCGAGACAACACTGTCCTAGGGGGTCCGGGGGTCATGCCCTTGCAAACTTTTTGTGTTCTAGACACTCAAAAAGAACATTTTTTTTCTTTTTCTTTCTTTCTTTCTTTTTTTCCCCTTTTTTTTTACCTCCTAAAATCCGCCCCTGTGTCATTAAAGTTCTAGAAATAAAAACAACATAGTTTTAGGTGGAATATTTTAGTAAGAATAAGAAGTTGCAACAAATAACTAATGGCTTTGTGTCTACTGCCCGCTTGCGGGGGCAGTAGATATACTGTGCATGTTGATACCCATTGGCCCTGATGTCCGCGAAACAATTGATATAGTTAGTAAAAACATGAAAATTTATTGGAGATACTTGTCTGCTAAAGGGAGTGGGTGAGGCCTTCCGTATTTCCTACAGACCGCCTCAACTTTGCAAGATATTTGGGACCCCTGTAATTCAAATGTGGTTCTAATGATTAAACTCAGGATTGACAAGTTCAGTAAGAAATTGAAAAATTATTTGGAATCAATACATAAAGAAACAGTTTGTGTTAATCATATTATTAATGTGATTCATTTATGTTCAAATGGGATTACTTATAATATTACATGCATGAAGTTGTCAATGTTACAAATTGAAATTTTATATTTTCAGGGAAAAATGGTCTTGGACTAAGCATCATAGGGATGGGAGTGGGAGCAGATGCCGGAGTGGAAAAACTGGGAATATTTGTCAAGGGAATAACGGAAAATGGTGCTGCTGCTACTGATGGAAGGTAAGTGTTTCTTTCCCATTTCCTTCCCCTTTCGTTTTCCCTTCTACTGTATCTTTTGGTTTACTATTGATGTTGGGCTTCAAGCTAATGCCCCCTCTTGTTGGTACTCCTTCCACATCATCTTCTACGTTGTTTTTTCTTTATGTTCCTGTCTCTTGTCTTTATTTTCTTTTTCCTCTTCTGTCCTTTCCTTTTTCTCCCCAACCTGTTTTTTTTGCCTTCCATATTTATTCCTATTTGTGCTTTACTATTTCCTTTCTACCATTCCAATTTCGCCTCCTCTATCATTATCCTATTCTTTCTTTCTATTTCTCTTTCCTTTTCCTTTTCAACACCTCATTTTAATCGTCCAGAACTAGTGGTGGTGCCAGTAATTACCTAATAAGAGGACAAGATCCCCAATGAGAGGTCCGAAATTCTCCTTAGCCCTATCGTGTTTGGAGCAAATTTTAGGAATAAAGATGCCCGGAAAAGTGGTACTCTCAGACTGAAAAAGTGCTACTCTCAGACTGAAAAAGTGCTTTTTAAAGCAGTGTTCCCCAACAAATAATTGGATTCTTCTTAGACAGCTGTTCAGGGTTTCCTGATAAGGGTCCCGTTTCCAGGATAGGATAAAAGGCGAGACTTTTTTTATTCCTTGTTTCGCATACTTATTAAAATTAAAAATAAAATTTTGTTTTCTTATTTAGCAAATAGATTCTTCTTCGATGTGTGGATTCTGTTGTAGATATAAAGAGTACAAGTATTTAAATTTGTTTAGTTTAAAATCAGAAAAGACGACAATGGCGGTGGGTCAGACACTTTGTCAATTGTTACCATACCACGATAACTAAAATTTGGCAAACTCAGATTAGTTTCAAATTTAGTAGAAGGCAATGAATGACTTTGGTGACTATTAATTATCGCAATTCCCAAATTTCCTTTTAGTTTGTGCGTACAAAGGAATGTACACACACGCAGGGTTCTGGTTTTACTGTAGACATTAAATCTACACAAAGTCAACCTTTACCAAAAGTAGTATTCGACTTAGTTTGATTTAATGTCTAAAAAAAAGTTTTACATGACAAACTTTTAATAACGTAAAGCTCTAGCCCCTGAATATTTTCACTTTTTTTTCCTTATAAAAATCATGTGCATTAATCTAAATATCATAAACCAGGTAATTTTTATTGACATAAATTTTAGTTTTTGTGCTTGAGAAGTATGAAATGAGAAATAGAGTACCATCTTAGTATAAGGTTCCTTTTTGATGATCCAAATACCAAGTAATGTAAGAATGGTATATTGGATCCAATGATTTACTTAATTACCATCTTTTTTTACTTTGTTATTAGAAAAATTCAGAGGTTGTAGATATGCTGGTTTATTTTTATATTATGCAGTTGAACTCTCGAGTTAGGCAAGACTTTTACTATTGTTTTGTGAACCCGCCTCAATCTTTATTTAGTATCCTGCCACCACTCCAAAAATCTCCAAAGGCAGTTTAATTTATTTAAAAAATAATTTGAACAAAAATTCCAAATAATTTAAAATATTTGATCATCAAAAGTTTTGAGGAATAAATATATATTTTTTTTAAATCAGAAAAGGTTGCCAAGATTTTAAAAAAGAAAAAAAAAGAGTTAGGAAATGAATACTGTAGTTCCTCGTGTATAGTCCCACAGTTTAAATGTTTTTAAATCGAAGGTTGTTAGCATGTTCTAGGTTGATTTTTTTGTTTTGTTTTATTTATTTATTTTTTTTTAATTTATAAAATGCAAATTTGGTTTTTGTACATTTTAATGTATTTTTATAGATCTACTGTATATTTACATAAACCTTTTATGCATTTATATGTATTAAAAACCTGTTAGTGGCAGATGTTATCACTGTACGAATAAAATTTAAAAAATAAAATAAAAATTTTTGTACGAATTGGAAATGCATTCGGTATCACTCTGGAATAAACATGTTTATTCTGACCTTGACAGTGTAAAAAGGGTATTAATGTTAAAATATGTTTTGGTAAAAGCTGAAACTAGGGCTTTAAATATCATTATGAGAGTTTGTTTATTCCATCTACAGATCGTTTCCATGCCAGGAGATTTTAATATCTATCATAAATAGGAGTTTTGGTTTTATTTGGATTACTATTTTAGCTAATTTACTTACATTAGTCTTTATTATTTATATCTAGGATTAAAGTTCTATAAAATTTCAACATCATTATTATGAAATGCTGTGCTGGAACATATTAAGTTTATTGCAACATTTACTGTAGCACTTGGTGGTCTATAAACAGTCGCAACAAATAATAGTTTATGTTAAATTCAGCTGTGGCTTGGTGATAAATATTCTTGCCTTCCAATGTCAGGATCCTGCCAAGACAACAGATTTTTTTCTCACGGCCAAAAGTAACGGCACTTCCTCAATCTGATAATGCAGGGGCGGATCCAGAGATGTCCGAAATGAGGGCAGAAAGGAGGGGCTGAATGTGAGGCCGATCGAGACAACAGTATACCCTGGGGTCCGAGGGCATGTCCCCGCAGTTTTTTTTCTAGACTCCCGAAAATAACTGTCTGACCTGGCGCTGTAATGTAGAGTGTTGTCTTGTGAAAGGATTGCCGCTTTATGGTTGAATGATAGTAGTGGCACATTAATTTTATATTTATTCATCTTTATTGATTTTGTTAACTATATTAGATATTGACACTTCTACTTTCTCAAATTTACTTCATAATTGGAGCATATCACTTTTGAAGATGATGTTTTAAAAAGGCTGATATTATGCACGAAATACCAAGAAACAGACTTAACTTAAAGGCCGTTATTTCAAAAACCACATTAGAAAATGATCCAGAAAAAATACACATATATTAATCAATATAACAGAAATATCTTTGTGAAAGCTAATTCAAAACTATTAATTTGACGAAAAAATCCAACATTTAAACACCTTTAATGCACTCTCTATAGGTCATAGCTTACTACCAACTTGTGACCCCCGCTTCATAAAATGTACTGTTGCAAAATGACCTCCTACTTAAGAAACAGATCTGGATTGTTGTCTTTCATTTTCAGTTTCGGTTTATTCATCATAGAAATGGTGTTAATTATAAAATAAAATGGGTGGGTTCACCAAAAGACCAAAGCAATATCTGGTATGTTCCCATGAAACCTGCATAAAATTTGGAAAATTTAAAACATACTTTGTTTGAAGGTTTCCATGGTGAAGTAACAATGATAAATGCTTGTGGTACACCATGTAGAACCATTGATTTTGTTGAGTGTCTTTACATTTCGATTGTGTTCCTTCAGTCTTCATTAGGAGCACGACATGGTAGAATCTAAAATAATTGCGTCACTAATATTTTATCTGCGCATGCGAGAACTTTCTATTTGAATTCTAGGATGCAATTTGACCAAATCATGTTGTACAGAAAATGTAGGACATTCACGTATGAGTGAACCCATTCTAGAGTCGCGTCGTCGCGCAAATCAAAAGCTCACCTAAAATATGGTGGTTGAAGCAACTCATTAGAAGCATCAAGAATTTCTCATCTGCATGGCGTACAGCTAATAAAACTGTCTTTTCTTAAATTATATATGGTATTATATTCTATCTTTAATTAGCTTTAAAATATTTTAGAGCTAATTGAGATAATTTAGTTCTCTTTAATGTATTGACAAGAAACTGAATTTGCGGTATTAAATATAAAAAAAAAAAAAAATAGCTTTAAACTTCAGTTGGCATGAATAGTTACAGTACATGCATTTGTTATCCAGTCTGCACGTAAATTATGATGCAACATTCAAGTACGTTCAAATGTTGTTAGCCGGGAACCAGTCAGCTCGAGCAGATACCACTTTGAGCGAATGCTAGTTTCGAGCAGGTTCGAGTAGAATTTACTTTGAGCTGATGCAGCCCCCCCCCCGAATCGAATCCGCCTATGCATGACCTCATCTTTATTTTTACAGTTGTGCTACGTCAGTACTGTATTGTTGATAGTCTTGTCACACTACACCAATGATTTGTGCACCTTCACTTTGTACTGAATAGATAGTTATCTGTTGAATAAGGTATTAAATAAATGGATTGCATTTTGTAGGAATGATTCTCAGTACCATTTAATGTGATATAGCATTGGCCCAAGCCTACCAGACCTCTGACTATATTACAGTGTAATGGATGGTTTACGTTTTTTTTATTATTTTATCAAGCATTTTCAAGGCACTGGATACAGCATTACTGCCCATAACACCACCTGCACGATTAATTGGTTTCCTGATTTTGCTTTTGTTGTGTTCTGTCAAACTGCTTAATCCTGGTACACACTCTGCTCCGCTCATTAGGACGCTTCACTGGTTGCCTGTTGACAGTAGAGTTGTTTTTAAAATCATTCTTACTGTCTACAAAGGCATAAATGGTTATTCCCACTTCCTGTTTATCTACACCCCTTACTTGTGTTCCCACTCGGACTACTCAATACTCCTCTTCACATCACTACATTGTACCACACAGTAATAAAGAGGATCAGAAGTTTATTATATTCAGTTTATGCTGCCCAACTCTGGAATAATCTTCCTCCTGATCTTAAGAACATTTTTAGTGTTAATATTTTCAAAAAAATCACTTAAAACCTATCTTTTTACCTAATTCACTTGTCTCTGTTTTTGTCTGTGTCTTTTGTTGTCTTTTTATGTTATTGTTTATCCATAGACTGTATTCTGTGTGGTGAGACATGAGACAGGAACTGATGTGGATCAGTTGCTCTTGATGATTTGAAATGAACAGTAACAGTATACATTAAAACACTTAAGATAACACTAAAGTGAAAAATAATACTAAAATATCCTCATTGACTCTAAATTGCTTTAGTTTACGCAAGTAGAACAGATGTTAATTTGCTTTTTTAGTTAAGTATAGCGTATTAGCTTTCCAATTAAGTTCTTTATCTATTATGGTACCTAAGTATTTAAACTCATTAACCATTTCCACTTCCACATCATTAATTTCAACTCTTTTCTTTAAGAGGAGAGAATTTCTTTCTAAAATTAAAAACCATTCCATTAGTTTTAGCAGCATTTAGAAGCAAGTAATTTTTATTACACCAGGATTCAGAATTGATATATGGTGCGATAGTTGCCTTCATCTTCAGATAAGATGAGTCCAGTAACAACGGTATCATCTGCATAACAAATTAGTTTACAGTCATGTGAATTAATACAGAAGTAGTTAGTATAAATAGAAAACAATACAGGAAACAATTCATTTTTGGTGATTTTTTTTCTTTGGTATTTCCCTCCCCTTTCAACTATTTTTTTAATATAACAGTGGTTTTTTTGGGATTATTCCACATACAGTATTTTTATTTAATGATGTCTTTTGATACAAAATTATTATTTGATACTTGTTTATTGGAAAAGTTTTTTACTTACATGGCTGTTGGTTGTGTATAGTTATTAGTTTTAATCCTATCCCTTTCACTTTACTAATATTTTTTTGTATTTCCCACAGAATTAATGTTAGTGATCAGATAATAGAGGTGGATGGAAAGAGTCTTGTTGGGGTTACACAAAGCTATGCTGCACAGGTACTTAAAAACACATCCGGCAGTGTACAGTAAGTTGGACAACCAATATTTTTGTTTTATCACAAGTTTGCCTACCATTTTCATGTAGCTGTAAATAGAAAAGAAAATAAACCATAACATTCCCTACAATATATAACAAAAATTCTAAAGGAATGGGAAATAGAAAGACACATTTTTACTATAAGTACACCCTTGGAAAAGCATCATGACCTACATTGGCATATGTAAGAGCATTGACATGGGGAGGGATGACTGATGGGGACAAATATTAAGTGGTTGCTCGATGATTAAGTGAGGAGGGCCCTTAGTTGAAAAAAATAAGGTGATGTGAGGTGAATTTTTTTGCCTAGCATATTTCCAGTTGGGGGACACCTGGGCTCTTTTTAATTTTTATGTGTACAATTATCTAGCAATTATTCTTTTATTTTCTCTTGTCTTTTTACCTTCAAGAATTCTTATTGGACGTGAGAAAGATCCAAACAATAGTGAAGTTGCAAAGCTTATTTCAGAATCGTTGACCCAGAGTAAGGCACAGCAAGAAAGTCCCGCTGTTGAAGAGGTAAGCATAACAAAAATGGTTTGTTTGTTTTAGTGTGCCTTGTCATGTTATGTTCCTACGGAAGGAATTGTATTAGGCAACAGCCATCAGGGCAGTTTGTTAATCCTGGAACACAATGCATTGTTCAACAGATCTATCTCTGTTCTGTGTTAGTGCTTTAGTCTGAGTGATTTTTTTTTTTTAAATGATTGACAAATTTAAACAGCTTCTTTTAAAGCGATTTGTAAAATTGGACTACTTTGAATAAGTCTTACTCTACCTGATCCAGTTATTGCGATGTTGTTATGGAGGGTGTGTGTACAGTATTATCTTGATTTATGGAATTGGACTTATTTAGTGAATTCGATTTACACCGTTGCTCAAGTTGACAAATACAGGTGGCTAATACAGGTGCCATTAGTGATATTTATTGGAGTACATTTTTTGGCATTAAAGAAATTGAATTGAATTGCATTACCTTGTGACCCCTTAACACAGGGTTTTTCAACTGGCAGCCTGCAGGCCACTTCTGGCCCGCAAGTGCGTGTTATGCGACCGGCCTGGATTTCTAATCTTAATAAATTTACATTCTGTTTTGCCGACTAGGCCTAAATATTGCCACACAAATTGTAGCAACTTAGTCAATCAAATCAGAAGATCTATTGCAGCAAACAGCAAAGAAATAGGCCTACTGCATTACCAATGACCCATTGTGAGATATATAACATTTTGACTTTTGCATTACCAAACACACGGGTAACTTTCATAGGTCAAGATGCCCTGTATGAGCTTCTAGCGGCTTATTATTTTCAATAAATGTCTAATAGACCTTTTCGGAGTGTCAATCAAACTTATCAACTGACTAATCAGAACAGCGCTAGGAATACGCGCGTGTCTCACAAACACGTGTTGTCCCACAAACGCATGTGTTTGCTTATTTTTTAACACTGTCGTCTTGTGGGACCTTAGCAACAATATCCAAGGGGCGGGGCTTAGCGGAAAGGTCCATTCAGAAAGAGGGACACTCCCCCCCCCCCAAACTCTTCTCTAGCTCGCCCCTGTGGCGCTCTGATAGCCATATGCCCCATAGTACACCTCTTGCCCTAGCCCTTCAAATTCATTCAATGAACGATTTTGGCCCCTATTGCAATATAGTTGAGAACCCCTGCTTTAATAATTCCCTATGCTTGTGGTAAATTTAGAAAATAGAAAAATGCTCATTTAATACAGAAATATATTCATTGTAATTGTTACTGATCGATGCGAGTCAAATTTCCAAAGTATAATAATTTCCAACAACATCCTGATTTCTTTACCAGAAACTATCAAGGTATTATCATTAACATATGAGTAATAATATTCTATAGGTTATACAAATAGAAATATTATTAATGTAACATGCAAATTTACAAATGGCTCCCGGGGAAATAATTCCAGTCTGCCAAAGTTATTGGTGTGAATTTAGGAACATTATTCAATAATTTTGAATAACTTAGCTCTCCTTGAAATCTGCAAGTACAACACATTTCATGAGTTTTGTGTAAAATTAAGGCCTGTCGTGCGCCTGCTCGGGGAATACCTTATCCGTATATCCTCCACGCAAAACCTAGGTTTAGGGTCCGTTCGCGCATTTCGGAAAATAAGTCTGTTTAGGGGTGTTATAATACATTTCAATTAAACTTGTTTAGTATATGGTAAATGGTATAATCACAAAATCTGTGGTATAATCAATCATTTAAGCATTCTGAATTATGATATTAACAACATGACTGATTCATATGAACAATAGAATGATCACTTGGCCTAAAAAAGCCTGTGTTATAGAGAAAAACAAGCAAGAATATAAAAAAAAACAAGTTAAATAATTAAAAATTAATAGCTATCTATCAGTGAATTAATACTGTCCTATCCTAATACAGTACTCCTATCCTGTCCATTGTGATTGACTGTGCTAAACATGAAGGAGTTACTGAAACAATTTATTGTTGGACTATTTTTTGTAAGTTTCAATTTACCTGTAGTAATTTCAATGTCTTAATATCTAGTAATTGCAATGTATTTATGGAGAGATATGTCGTGTCTTGAATTATTAACTAAATTATTAATTAAATATGATTTACATCGTTCCTCAAGTTGCCAGAATTTAAAGCTATTATCCTTATGACCTCCTTTTAAAAATGATTTTTAAATAATCATCAAATGGAATACAAATAACCCACAGATGCCTAGAATGGCAATATCTTACATCAGACAACAACTTTAGGCTAATTTGTTGAGCATCTGGCAAAATAATTTGTGAAGAAAACAGCTGAAAAAAAAAAACTTTTTTAAAGTTTTTTTGTTTATCCGCCCCTATTTTTTTCAGTGAGTTAGGGGCGGGGAGGAGGGCAAAGGCCTAACCCTAATCATCTCCTGTTAAACTACCTAATAGGCCCCCAAGCATGTGTCTACTCCTGAAAGTGAGATTTTGGTATTCCTTTTTTTGTTTTTTTGTATATTGCGATTTTCAGCGAGTAAAATATCCAACATCGAGTTTATTTTTCATTATTCCCAAAAAGGTTTCAATTTTTTTTTTCTTTATTTGAATTTGATTTTCTTTATTCTCTATTTATTTTCGCCAAATTTGAAATGAAAATTTCAGAAAACCTAGCAACCACCACTGGGGGACTTCCGGAGGCCTAGTGTTTCAATCTACGTAGTTACCATTGTGGAATAATTATTAAATGATAAAACTAAATTATGAATGAGCACGAATATTTTAAAACGAAAAAAGAATGAATTGTTTTATTAAAAACAAGTCAAGGTCTTAAAAACCTATTTCAATGTTTAAATATAGAGTAATTAGCATGATCGAATGTGTTGTCTACTGCTGATATAGCAAAGGTCTAGCGGCGCGATGCGCTCCGCGGTGCTCTATGTAACTAGCCAGCTACTCAGGCTAGGCCGCTGGTAATCCCAGTGAGTTGTGAGACGTTGGCGGCGCTGTTTCAAAATAATTCTGATAAAATGGTCTATAATAATTCTCATCAATCCCAGAGAGCAATCTAGTGAGTTCACAAAAATAATTCAATATAAATATACATATGATTAAAATACTGCAACTATGAAGTCCTGCAAATATGTACAAAAAAAAAACAATTTATAAAAATTGGTAATAAAACAGATTCGAAATTCAGAAGGCATAAAAATATAAATATATCCAATTAGTATTGTTCCAATGAGACATCGTTCTCAAACGATGTTATTATATGAAAACCATTAATGGTTGGTATATAAAAGAAATTCAATTAGGTATCCAACCTGTTTGTACATTCATTTATAATGTTTTTGAATTGATTCTTCTTAAAGTTTATTTTAAACAGTGCATGATTTATCGGAATTGTAGGAGCACACTACCGTAATGCTATTAAAGAGACCGGAGAACATATAAGGAAATGCTCATGTAACATTTAACGATGATCATAATTCTGGGCGAGTATTGCAAGCACAGGAGATAAAATAATATTGCTTACATAAGTTAAAGCTGATGGTGAACAGTTGAACTGATTTTATAATGCGAATGCCGAGTATATTCAACATCTAAATTATAAAGTTTGTACCAGCAAAAGTTTGGAGTATATTAATGAACTCGCGACTTGAAAATAGCCATGGAAGCCTACTTACAAAGTCGCAAGACAGTCATTAATTGGAATAATTTTATGTTTGGCACCCTACTAGCATTTTATGGTAGTAATTGCATAGATGGTGGTTGTAACACTTACGGTACATGTCCCATTTGTATGCTATAAAAAATTATGTAGGCCTAAATTATGGTTGTACTGTAATTGAAGAAACTTGGCACAGATCATGCTTGTGTATATTTTTATTTTGAACATAATTTCAAGTTTTTAAAACAATCATAGCATGAGTTTTAATTAGCCATAGCCATTACTAGGCTCAATGAAACAAATATGTTTCGGTAGGGTCAGCTGCCGTCATCAGTCAATCTTATTTATGTACTGGATATGAGTCGAACCATATTGAAAGGTAGAGTTGACAAAACAGTTCATGAATAATTATACAGACAAGAACGATTAAGAAAAAAAACTGAATCAAAATGGCAGTTAAATTTCAAATTTGTTCCTATGCTATTTAAGGCGATGTTCATACAAACCAGCTAACGGTTAGCAGGATCCAGATAAGCAACATACGCGCTCACCCTTGCGTTCATACACGAAAATCCCAGAATAAGATTATGATGAATCACTGGCCAATAAAAAACTGGTAATTGGAAATGCGTACGTGTGATTAGTTAATGATAGAAATGTGCTCAACCTGCTAACCAATAGCGCTTGCAAACTGTTAGCGTATCTAGGTCTTTATAATGGTTAGTTCAGGCGTTCTCACATGGAAGCTAACGGTTACTACTAATGGTTAACTCCCGATCTGGATGCTATTGCTCTAGCGTGAACCTAAACCTAAATTTATCTTTTGATTTATGCATTTGAGATGAAATAGCTTGTTCATAAATAATGTGCTATAAACTTACATGTAATTTAGTCACCATACAACTTGGAACTATAAATAACTATCATTTTCACAAGAGTACGAAACATACGCTTTCGGCAGAAATTTGATTTTACAGTGCAAGCATATGTACTCTTTTATGAAAAAGGTTGAATGTTGACCGTAAAAAGAGAAAATATCATCATTTTATTGTCTGTTAGGGGGAGGGAGGAGGTCACAGAAAAAAATATGTTTTTTACTCTTGTAAAAATGTTAAAAATAATGGATCACCCATTGATATTAAATGTTTTGGTTTAGAACATATTTGCCTACTGATACCATAATAAATAAATGGCAAAGGCAGGCAATACAATTTTTTTTTAGTAGTTTTTTATACTCATTTTAAGCTTTAGAATTGATGAAAAAGCTAACCTAGAAATCGTGTGTGTCCCACTCGTAGTACATGGTTCAAAGACCTAATCTGACCACAGAAAACCAGGAGTCTCAGCCTAGCATTTCTTGAAAAATCTCAATAT